GCTGGGGTGAACCAATTGGATGAAAAGCTTCAGTGCTTCATGAAGCTTCATCTGCCCATCACTAGCCAGGAGCGACTTTCCTTAGCTCCTAGTGTTCGTGTTTCCTCCTCTTGCTCCCGTACGTAGAGCCGCTAACGTTCCGCTCTGACGTAAGCGCGTCCAGCCAATTGGATACCGCGGTTTTTTTTTATTCGCGATAGGTCGTAAAGGTTAAAGGTTAGAGCTATGATGGCTGCGCTCTGAATGTAAACAGTAGTGTTTGTCAGTTGTTCTTTGCTTGTGGGAGGACAGGTGAGAGACGGGATTGTTTATGTGTCGCAATCCTGCGCTGTTTGTCAGTGAGAGCCAGCAGAGGAGATAACTCCCAGTGCGCTGTTTGGCTTTCAGATATGAGACTGTTGTCGCAGGCGGTGAAGTTTGCGGTGACTCACCCGGAGAGGAGCCGCAGACACTTCTGGGGCTGGCTCAATGCCGTTTTCAACAAGTGAGGCACCTTTTTATTAACTCACCTCCACCTTAAAAATACATCACTATACGAAAGTCTTGAGCCATACTTTTCTTTTTCTGGACATTAGCTGCTTTTTCTCTCATTTTGAGCCCAGTCCTTGTACCTGACTATATTCAGAGACTTAACCCTGACCTATGAGTCAGACAAACATAAAACAGGCATCTAACTCAAGGAATGAACCAGCGTAGTGTCAACACATAACAAAAAACTCGGCAAACACCCCTTTAAAATGTGTCTTTAGGCTACTAGCAGCCTGTAATTTGTTCCTGTAGCTGAATGTATGAAAAATGCTAAATATAATACAGTTTGACAGGCAAAAAATAGGATTTTCACACCAACAAGATGATTCCCAAAGAGATATTAGCTTAAAACTTCTTATATCTCAGCGTGGTGTGTCATTAAAATTGGAAACTGGACATGTTGAGTACAAAATAACATATAATAACATATAATAAGTGAAAAGCCACTACAGCTTCTACAGCAGACAAACCTATCTGAAAGTGATGTCCTTAAGAAATATAAAAGAAAAAGAATCCAGGTAAGACTTGACACAGGACCTGAGAGATGCACCTGGATCTTCTGTTGATCTATCTAGTCTTCACTGAAGCCTCATCAGAAATAGCCTCGGTTGAAGTATGGCTATAAAGAAGCCGTTCTTAAGGAAGAAAA